AGATTTGAACTCGAGTTTTCCTAACTCTAGATGCAGTGCTCTATGTACTACACTATCTAGCTGCCCCAAGGATCTCATACCTGTTCCCAAAATGTAGCCAAGACAACATTCCTTCCCTTTCTAGTAAGTCCTAACTTCACAGAAACTTAAATCATCTTCCAGACTTAAAGTACTACTTGCTCCAAGCCCCAAATCCAACAAATACATACCGTACAATGGGAAAGAAGTCAGGGTTAGTAAGGAGTCAAGCAGTCCTCCCTATTGGTGAACCTCCATTCTTCCAAACTTATTCTTCTGAACTCTTCTGGATGGAAATTCCTCCTTTTCCTCTAACAAGAGGAGGTGAGGAGAAGCATTTAGGTTGCCAAAGAATCAAACAGCATACAGATCTTGTTATCTTTCTTCCTATTCCCTAGACTTGGACTTATTCAAACTTCAAGGGAAGGGCAAGGTCCTGATTTGCTCCTTTTTAGTGTGGCTCTGTCCATTGCTGCTCCTTGTCTCTGCTTTAATCCAAGAGCTCCTCACTGCTCCCTGCAGACATCTCTCACAGAGGATGGTTCCTTGGATGTCCCTGTGGACATACATTTTCCCTTCTAGAAAACCAAATCTCTATCTCTGTATATCCACTCTCTTTCTTATCCTTATTCCTTTCCAGCTATTTACCTCTTAAAGCCCATTTTGACCAGTAAAAGGTCCCTTCCTCAGTACATGTTCTTGACTTTGTTGGACAGTAGACTACTGTTGTTGTTTCTGTGTCTTAATTACCTTATTTCTTCCACTGATCCAATCTTCCTTCCTGCCTTCCTCCCTCCCTCCCTCCCTTCCTCTCTCTCTCTCTCTCTCTCTCTCTCTCTCTCTCTCTCTCTCTCTCTCTCTCTCTCTCTATCTTTCATCCAGTGACAGGAAGTTTTAATAAAATTTACTTTTTTTGCATGCCCTTTGGTCCAGAGCTCTCACTGTAGAAAACCAGGAACAGTAGATGCTCATCAACTGGAGCAAAAGTCAAAATGAAATGAAAGCCCCTGTGCTTTGCAAACTTCCTTTAGCTGCTAATCAGTGTGTGGACAAGGCATTGTTTTGGGGTATGCAAATATGGGCTACATTACATGTATGTAATGTGATAAAACTGTACCATACAACTTGATGAATATGAGGAATTCAGAGAAGCATGGAAAGATTTGTATGACCTGATGAAAAGGGAATTAAACAGGTCCAGCAAAAAATATACACAGTGTACTATAGCAAATAGTAAATTGAAAGGACAAAAACACAAAACTGAATTACCTCCCTCTTTCCCTACTTGCAGAGGTAGGGACTGTAAGTATGATATACTGTATAAATAACCAGATATAATAAATGTAGTATTTGTTTTTGATGAACATTTTTCTTTTTTAAAATTTGTTACAAAGGATGACTTTTTGAATAGGGAAGTAGTTACATATTTAGATATTTATATATATTTAGAAGAAATATAAAAACAAAGATATTAATAAAATTTAAAATAAAGTTTTAATAGCTGAAGAAATCTTAATATTTAACATCAATAAAACTAGTCAAATTTGCCATACATCTCCTTGTTAATTTCATTACTTTAATTGATGGTTTTCTTGATTTTCTGAGGTGATGGTAGGAAGAACAAGGAAGGACCTTTTGCTCTGCCATCTTGCCAGAAGTCTTTAACCATTTTATTTGACCACAGTTTTGTTACCTTCTCACTCATTTTTTAAAACAGAATCATATATTGTTCTTTTGACTCTGCTTTCTTTACTCTGCATCAGTTCATACAAATCTTCCCATGTTTTTCTGAATTCATAATATTCTTTTACTGTACATTTCAGTCACAGTCACGACCGGTGTGTTCAGCTGTTCTCTAATTATTCTCATATATTGTTGTTTTTGCTATAAGTATTTAGTTCTTGTTTTCAATAGCCTAAGTGAATAAAAAAAAACTTTTCATAAGCACTTATGACGTACCAGATAATATGCTAAGTACTAGGAGCACAAGCACAAAAAAGCAAAACAGTCCCTTCCTGAAAGAAGCTTGCATTGTAATGATGGAAGACAGTACATAAAGGAGAGTTAGAAAAGGGGGAGAGAGACAGAGAGAGAGAGAGAGAAAAACTTATCTATTAAAGGCTAGAGTCCCTGGGTCAGAATCCAGATTCCTGTGGAAAAGGATAATGATGATACCCAGGGTGCACCAGGTAGCATGTTTTAAGAAGAGGTTTAGAATACCTGGGGTTATGATCCCAGAAATAAGATCTCTGGGTCAAGGTTTGAAGAGTTCAGTAACTTTTCTTTCATAAATACAAGTTATTTTCCAGAATTGTTGAATTCATTGCTGAACCAGCAATGAATAAGCCAGCGTATTTTCCCACAGTCTCACCAAAAATGAGTTTTCTCATCTTTTACCATTTTTGCTAATAGGGGTGCAAAAGTATAGTCTCAGGGTTGTTTTAATTTATGTTTCTCTGAAGTTGTTTGTTCCAGTGTGTTTAAAGTCTTAAGTTTGGAAACTTGTTCATCTTGCATTATCTCATGACTACTAAAATATTTTAGGTTTACTAAATTTTAGGTTACTTTCCCCATATATTTATCTGGTACCTGTATACTAGGGCACACTAATTCGCTTTTTATTGGTATACTCTGTTACTGTATGTCACACTTCCAGGCCAAGGAACCTTCCTACAAAGTACACGTGCACACCAAATATGATTAAGCAAAACCTAAGAGTATAATTGGCAATCCTCCCCGGTTTGCTTGAGGAAATTGCCAGGTGTAATGGGGAGGTATAAGAGACAGTGAGGTGTTATGGAGGAGTAAGGAGGGAGCCCATTCATGTTCTTTGATATTCTTTTGGGAGTGAAGTTCTTCAGTCACTTCTTGATAGAAGTATAAAGTGTTAGTCATTAGCCAAAAACTTACCCAATAGGAGATACCACACCCAATTAAAAAAAAAAATCAGTCCCATAGGGTCCACATGGAATATCAAGAGAATTAGCCCTGGCAGGCAGAAGTTGAGTTATAGGTAAGAGCTGACCCAGGGAGCCCAGCTAAGAGATCTATTCAACAAGATCCGTGGAGAGCAGAATGAGGACAGAACAGAAAGATACTGAGACCCTGTAGACCAGAAGTGTGAGTTGCCTTAGCTGCCTGTGTCCCTTTGTCCCTGTGAACTCTGGTGTATGCCCATACTTTCCACTGACACAATCTATATTTGGAAGGAGTACACGCTAGGTTTATGGAAAGAATGCTTTTTACTGTTGTTTATACTATGCTGTTTCAGTAAATGCCATTGCTTTGAGCTAATTGTGTCAGCTAGCTAACTTTGAACACAAGAGTTGGGAGGGCTCTTGAGCTACAGTTCTATGAGTGCAGACCTATGGAATACCTCAAACTTGGGGTAACTCAAAGGGAGTACTTACTGTACCAACATTGACTATTGTGTTTGACCCATTTGGTTGCTTCTCAATGCTGCCTTTATATTGTAGTCATTGTTGTCCTTATGGTTCTGATTTCTTTACTCTGAATCATTTCATGCAACTCTGACTATATTCCTTTAAATTCTTAATATTTTTCATTCATGTCACCTTATAAAAGTTGTTACAACTGTTAGTGTTACAAACCTAATAGAAGAGAAATAGTCTAACAAATTTCTAGTACTTTACAATACTGGGAGAAATGTTGAATTTAATTCTATAAAACCACAAAGCTCTATTCCCCTTGAAAAGCAGTTTATTGTTCTGAAATGACCATGGTTTTATGTTAATAGTTCAGAAATGGAAACTATAGAACACTTTTATTGATTAAAAAGGGGGCACATCAAATTTCTACAGGGGACAAATGAATTTGTAGATACAAAGGGACAGTACTTTGGGGATTTTAATTAGCAAAGCAAGGGAAAATGGATGTGAATTAACTTTCTTGGTGCAAGAAATTGGATATTTTACTGTGAAGTCTTTCTCCAATAATAAATAAACTAGGAACTAGGTCTTAGAGATATTGACAAATAATGTTTAAAATATTTTAGGTTTTTTGTAAAGGTCTGTACTTTGAAGTCTATCAACCTCACTAAATTAATTGTACCCTCCTTTCAGAATTGGTTCATTTGTTTTCCTATTCCATAGCTAAGGGAAAATGTCTATCTTATGGCAGTCAGTCCTTGAAATAATCAAATTTCTTCATTGAACTATGGGTACATTTTGTAGATATGTTCCTCTTCTATAGTGCATAGCTATTAAACCGAAGGATATGAGGTATATTGTATTTGAGTATTTATAGAAAATAGTAGTTTAAGTACACATCTTTCTTCCAAATTACAGCAATTATAAACGTAATGGACCAGGTTCTAATTCTCAAACTACTCTTTGATTGTAAGTCAGCATCCTTTATTCATTCAACAAGCATTTATTAAGAAAGGTGCATTACTTCTTTTTGACTACTTCTGTTGTATTTCTCAAGTGGTAGATAATCATTTCATGTGGAACTATAACATGTTTCTTAAAAGACCATATAGTTCATGTCACCAGCTTTTTATGGAACATCTGTAACACACAGAGTATTGAATATGGTGAGAGATAAAAATGAAAGGGATGTAGTCTGATATCCATTGGGTCTAATGGCTTGGATCTTGCTCAATTTCAGTTATGTTAGGAAATAGGATCATAGGATTTGGAATTGGAAGAGAATTTAGAGGTCCCATAATACATTATTCCTCTAATTTTATAAATGAAGAAATGGAGGCCCAGAGAAGTCAAGTTACTTGCCCAAGGTTAGGAACTAGCAGAGCCATGATTCGAATCTAGATTTTCAGACTCCAAATCCTCTGTTTCATAGCAAGAGGGTTGTGATTTGGTTTTCTTTAGTCTTAATTATTATAAAATGTACCTTCCCTATATAAAATTACTAGTTTTATTATTTTAAAGGAGAGGTTTTTGAGGGCATATAGTAGCTTCAGTTTTTCAGTTTTATTAAATTTTAAAATGTTTATTTTTCAGCTCCCATGGAAGTCATTGACTAGCATCATTGAATATTATTACATGTGGAAAACTACTGACAGATATGTACAACAGGTAATCCTATCATTTTGACATTAATGAATGAGGATGCTACAAAACAAAAAATTTAATTTGATTTAATGATTTTTTTTTATCCTTTGGTATTTTTACAACTGTTCATAAGTTTCAGAGGTAATTTTAATTAAACTATGTGTGTGTGTTACTAAAGAAAGCGTCACTGAGAAGGGACACTACAGGAAAATGTGATTGTTGTATCTATCACTGGAATTTCATTTTGGGCAAAAGTTAATCCTCAAAGCTCCTAAACTTTCCTTTCAGGACAAAAACCAAACCAAAAAAACCCTTGAGAAACACTTGACACATCTTGGTTTTCTCTTATCTGAATAATTATATTTGATATCAGGTCATAACAACGTGTCTTCTTTTGGTTGTCCTTTGTATTTTCTTTGCCAAAGCTCATTTGTTGTAAAAATAATTGTGACCCCAGAGGCCTATGTTTTAAGTTTTAATTTATGAATTTACTTTTACAAGCTGATCCTATGATGTGATTTCATTTCCCTTTCTTTCCTGCTCTTAGTTTATTTTTAATGTATTTGTAATTAGTCCTCGATTTGAGTTAACATTGTCATTTTCTCATTCTCTCCCCTCTAATATACTCCTCATGAGCCCAAATAAACTAATGTGATATGCAGTTTTCAACTTTTCAATTTATACCTTGAGTTTGGGGAGGTTACATCTTTCCTCCTCACCTTTCTCTACCCCCTGTAAATGTTGGTCTCATACAAAGCCTGTTTTTTGTCTGTTTTTCTTCTCCTTGAACTGTGGAGCTTAGTTTCCACCTTATATCTCTATAAGGAAAGAATTCTTTTTTAACTTTCAGAAAATCAAATAAGAAATAAAATAAGAACCATAAATTTAAAAAAGTAGAAGTCACAATTATAAAAAGATTTTCCTTGTCTTTATTTTTCATGATTTTTTTTGTGGTGCTTTTATCATTCATATGGAAATGGGATATAGTATACTTTATATCTTCATTTAAGTAATCTACTGCATTCTTAGTAATATTCTGTTGATCATTCTCTATATTGAGTTTGTGTCTTAAAATTTACTGTGTGCATTTATTTTAACAAATTTTATCTTTAAAAATAGGTACAAAAATTACTGTTTGGATATAAAGTCAAGGTAGCTTTGGCTATTGGTGCTTGGTTTAAGTACCTTGTAATTTTAAGGATAAAAGGAAATAGTAATTCTTATGCATTATATGTAAAATGTTCTTTTTTTTTTTTAATTTAGAAACGCCTAAAAGCTGCTGAAGCTGAAAGCAAATTGAAACAGGTCTATATTCCAACTTAGTAAGTAATGAAACTTTTCTTATAAGTTTAAGAGCTGGGGTCACTGCAAATTATGCCCATTCTTGCTGTTCAACCTCAATCAAATCACCAAATTTCTTTCTGCTGTAGTTTCTTCCTCAGTAAAGGGAGCCTATTTTATATTAGACTGCAAAAATGGGCTCGTAGGACAGAAAGTCAATCGGTGAGAGAAACCGAAGTAGACAAATATGAGAGGCAATGGGAGGTATGTAGTGGATTTTGCCTCATTCATAATAAAGGAGAAAATGTCAGAAAACACAACTGTGAAAGCATATGTGTATGAATTGTGTGGATTTTATTAAGTTGCTACTTCTGAAGTTTGTAAATTGAGATGTGTTTTTTTGTTGGTGGTGTAGGCTGTGCAGATTTTGCCTTAATCTTTTCATTTGCCAACCCTACTTAGAATGAATATTTTATGGATTTTGTGAAGTATTCAGAATCTGTATTTTAAGCATATAAGATGCTGTCTATCATTTTTCTCATCAACACAATGAAAATCTTCAAGACCCTAAGAGTACAAAGAGACCTTTAAGAACATCTAGTCCAACCTGTACCTGACAAAGAGTCCCTTCTACATTATTTCTAGGCTTTGTTTGAAGAATTCCAATGAGGGGGAGCCCTTGGCAAGCTGTTCCATTCCTTATAAATTTCTGATTTTTAGGAAATTTTCCCTTGTATTCATGTTAAATCTGCTTCCTTGCACTTTCCACTCATTGTTCCAAGTTCAGCTCTTTGAGGCCAAGAAGATGAAATCTTATTCTTTTTGTGTGTGACAGCTCTTCTGATACTTAAAGTGCTCTCTTCTTCCCCCTAAAACTTCTCCAGGCTAAACGTGCGCAGAACCTTTCCATGTCATGTTTTTTAATCCCTTCACCATCATTAATCACCCTCTTTTGGAAGTATTTCAACTTGTCTATGTGCTTCCTAAAAGGTAGTTCCCAGAACTGAATTCCAGTTGTGATGGCAGAGTATAATGGAATCACTATTTCCCTCATTTTGGACACTACACCTCTCCTAATGCAGTCTGAGTTTCTTAATGCAGCCTCAGAGAGCATTGACTTTTTTTGGCAGCTGTATAACCTTCTATATTCCTCAGATTGCACTCCATTTAAATCTGTATCTGGCCACACCCCTGTCCTTTACTTGTGAAGCTATTTTTGAACCCGAGTATAACAGTTTATATTTGTCTCCATTAATTTCATCTCATTTGATTCAATGCATTCTTTAGCCTGTCAATTTTTAAAATGTTATTTCCCAGTACTGCCCCCACCAAAAAAAAAAAAAACCAAAACAAAAAACAGCAACAACACACCACTTTCTCCAGTTAAGCAAAACAAAACTACAACACATTGATCATGTCTGGTAGCATATACCTCATTTCACACTTCTAGTCCATTACCTCTCTAGAAAGGGGAAATAATACTTCTTCAGTCCTGGAGATGATTCATCATTGCTTCAATTTTAATTCTGATGTCTTTTTTATTATTTTTTTCCTTTATGTTATTGAAGGCATTGTGTATAAAATTTATCTTGGTTCTGCTTGTTTTTCAGTCAGCATCAATGGGTGTAAAGTTCCCTGTTGTTCTCCGAATTCTTAATGTTCATTGTTACCTGCAGTGTAAAAATATTTGAGTGTTTTCATATGCCACAATTTGTTCAGCTATTCCCTAGTCAGTGCAGACTCACCTTTGTCTAATTTCTTGCTGCTCCAAAAATAATTGCTATAAGTCTTTTGGTTAGGTTTGAGACCTTTCCCTCTGTCTTTTGATCTCTTTGGGGTAAATGTCCAACAAAGTGTGAATAGCATAGTCTCTTTTCTATCATGATTACCAATTGTTGTCTAAAATAGTTGGATTAATTCACAGTTTGGCACCAATAGGGTATTACTCTGCTTGACTTCCCACAATCCTACCAGTATTGGTTATTTCTGTCTTTCATCATCTTTTTCAAGTAGCCAATTCGTTGGACATGAGGTAAAAATCTCACAATTCTAATTTGTAGTATGCTTATTATTATTGAATTGCCAAACAATTGTCTCTCTGGTCCTCCACTCCCTCTTGACTGAAAGCACTCCTCCTGTCCTTGAACTATGACCCAGAAGTGGGTATAGGTAGTGAAGCTGCCAAACATTGTCTGGTCCTGTGTCCAGTGCTAGCAAGCAGTCCCCTGTAGTCTCTTTCTGACCAGTTGCCAGGTCCTTTTACCATCTCTGTCTTGGGAGTTCCTGAAACTGCTTCTACTTGTTTTTGTTTTCACCACCTAATCCCACCACTGGTGTTTAATCCTTGTGTGCTCCAGGCCAGCTTCCACTCCAGTGTCACAGATCTCTCTTTCTGTGTTGTCTTGAGCTGGAAGGATGTCCGCTCTAATCTTTTGTTGACTCTGCCACTCCAGAACTTGATTTGAGGTATTATTTTAAAGTTGTTTGGAGAGGAATGTTCAGAGTGCTCAGCTGAGCACTCTCTCTACTCCTACCATCTTGCTTTGCCCCCAGACATCTTGATTGATTGCTTCTAAGGCCAGTTTCCCCTTCAAAATGCTAAACCAGTGGTTTCTACCTATTCTCTTTCTAGATAGTTTAAAATCCTATCTACTTATCCAAGCATGTCAGACTACCACAAACAATTTTGATGCATTGGTCATTTACCCTTAAGGTTCCTATTTCTACTTTACCAACCATTTCTTATTGGTTAGAATCCCATCAAGAATAACAATTTCACTTATTAGAATTCATCAATTTCTTTAAGATTCAGCAGAGGTACTCTTAAACCTTTCCTGATCTTCCCAACTGTTAATGCCTTATACTGTGTTGCAGTTAGACAGACAGATAGACAGACAGACGCATACACACACACACACACACACACAGAGTTGATTTATGGTTTCCTCTAACTTTTGAAGAATTAAGTTGGCATTAAGTTAGGTCACAAATGTATCTACTGCTCTGCTTTTAGCAATGATGGACTTCCAGCAGAAGGCCAGATAGTTGAAGTACTCCATAACTATAATGTGCTTCCATAACAGCTTTGTGACCAGTTTCCCAAATTATTCCTTCTACTCAGGTGGTTTGCAGTAAAAATCAAGTGAGTAGTTCACAAGCATTTATTAAATGCCTGCTATGTGCCAGGCACTGTGTTAGGTGCTATATAAACCCACAGCCATATCACTTCTCTTTCTCCCTCCATCAATTCTTGATCAGTTGTTCTCTACCATTTTCCCTCCTCAGCCACATGGGTTTCTTATTAATGTGCAATTCTACTAATCCTTCCCAGCTCTTTATTATGTTTCCAGTTGGTTATATATCCCACCTCATCACACTGATACCTGGGAAGTCAAATTTACTTCTTCATGTAACATTTTCTAGTTCACCCCATTTATTACTTTGTATATAGACATCTGAGTCAGAGTTTTATTGGATATTATTTTGGTACCTAGTACTCTCTCTCTGGTAACTAGTTTGTCAGACCCACGTGGTTAGCTTTCTCCCTTCCCCTCTTGTTTAATTTTAAAGCCTTCTGTTAATCCTGATTAATTCACAAGTTTCCTAGGCAATTATGTTTTTACTGACCTTTATTATGTGGCTGTAGCCAAGAGTGTGACATAATTATATTTTAAGCTATCGTCTAGAAATCCAAATTCTGCTGTCAGATGCTATGTTCTTAGTCAGCTGTTCTTTTCCAAAATCATCCTTTATTTTCTCAGTGCCCTATCTTCATTTGGCAAGAGTAATGAAAACAATATCTTCAGGGTCTTCAGTTTTCTGTTCAGTGCTTGGCAGTGCTTTCGAGGTTCCTTTTGGCAACATCGTTTGTCCCAATATAAATCACTAGAAGTGGGCAGTGATAATCAGGTTTGTTAATTCTCAAGAATCTTGCTGTCTTGTTCCAGATACATGTCCTGAGAATTTAATGCAGTGTCTTTCATGTTTGTCAGATAAGTAACTAGCCACTTCAGTACTCTACTTTTTAAAATCACCCTTGCTACTAGGGACAGTTATTGGATTGTCTATACCTGGTGCCATACGTGGAGTCGTATACTTTCTTGGAGCTCAAGAAGCTGCTTCAAGTGAGATAATAATAAACACTTTGCAATGTTAAAGTAGTATGTAAATGTCATTGTTATTTATTGCAGTAACAATGAAGTTCTATGCCCTACAAAATGAGCTTCTACTACCTATTGATAAAGGATCATGCATTTAGTATTCCTTTTCTTTCCTTCTCTTTATCACATTTGTCCCTCCTTCCACCTCCTGATACTAGGGAGAATTCCCCTTTGACCTGTTACATCTTTTTTTTCTTTGATTCCTTCTTGAAACTCCACTTCCTTTCTTTTAAGGAACTTCTGGGTAACCTGGAGAAGAGAAATGTAGCCATTTTCTTCCTCTAGGAAAGAGACCATTCTGTTCTTTGTGCATTCATAAGTGTTAACAGGATAGAGGAAGAAGCACAGACATAGCATGCACTCTGCAGATGATTACAAAATCATCCTCATCCAGGGCAGCTACATGGTGCAGTGTATAGAACTCCCACTGTGGAGTCAGGAGGACCCGAGTTCAAAGTTGACCTCAGACACTTGACCCTTACTAGGTGTGTGACCTTGGGCAACTCACTTAACCCCACTGCCTCACCAAAAAGGGGAAAACAACAAAAAACAAAAAATCATCTTCATTCTCCATAGTTGCCCGAAGGAAAATCCACGGCCTACTGTCTTCATTTTCATTGCTTCCTTGTATAACTGATGTTGCAAAGTGCCTATTTCTCAGACTTAGGAGAAGAATATAATCAAATCCATCTATCTTGTTTCAGCTTATGGTCAAACACCTAATACTTGCCTCCATGTTTCTGCACATCAGGCTCTGTCCTTTCTTAGGGATTGAGCCTTAATTTATTTAACAAATAGAAGCAGATAAGACAGAAATGCCTGGCACATAGTAAGTACTTAATAAATGCTTGTTGATTGTTAGTTAATTATTGTCACAAGAAAAAAAATCTAATGAATTCTTTCTACTTCATTTCACTTTGGTGACTGTCTCCAGATCCTTCCCTTTATACTAATATATCTCTCTTATATAGTGTCATCTGATGAAAATAGTTGATTTTTTTCTTACTTTGCAATTAAGATTTGTTACCATCTCAAAGTATTCTGTATTTTAAAATATTCTGGGGCTTTGTTGGTTTGTTCGTTCAATTAATATATTCAATATGTATTTAAATTCTATTCAGGCACTTAGGGAGAAACAAAAGAAATGTGTGACATAGTCTCACATAGAGATTCTTGTTTTGTGAGCTGAGTGCTATATTTGTTGTCGTTTTGTAGTGTACTGAGTCCTTTGGTAATTGAATTTAGATATATTATTTAATACATGCTTTTACGAACAGGTGGCCTCATAAAGAATGAATTATGATCTTTCACAGTAACCTTTTCTTCAAGGCTAATAACACTAGCTTTATTCTTCTGTGTGCAGGTTTACAGGCCAAATACTGTCATTCAAAGATGCAATGTGATATTTGTCCCACAAATCAGCTTTTGTTTATATTTATATTTTACAGTATATCTTGTGATTAAAATGCTTCTGTTATTCATGAATCTTAGAATTTTACACATTTCTTATTAATCAGACTTTATGTAAACCTTATGATTATCTAGGATGTTTGAGGAAATAATTAAGGTTCTTCTTCATACTTTTCACAAATAACAGTTTTGTCTCCAGCCAAAGAAAAGTACGTATAATTTGGTATCTGCATAAATTTTTTGAGTCTTTATCTCTTGCTTTGCAATGATCCTAAAGTTGCAGCTTCAAAGGGAGATTTTTGGGGATCCATGGCAGATTATTGTTCATTCTCTTGCATTTTCTTTGAGGTTACTTAAACATTTATATACTTTTATACATTTGTATAAATAGGTTTCTATGCTGATCAGATTAACATGTGATTATAAAGTTATGCTAAGATGTAGAAACCATAACATGAAAGATATTTCTTCTCAGTAGTATTTTGCCTTTTTAAAGCTACATAATATCTCTTGTAAAATAAGCTCTATTTGCTTTTAGGATTTGTGGAGGAAAAAAAGGTTAATTTATATCTACTGTGACAGTTATTCTTTATATCCTTGAACTTCAAATTGAATAATAGATCCTTGACAAGAAATGTGGACAACTCTTCATTCTTCAACATTGTTTTTAGTCTCAAATCATTATTACCAATATTAAAGTCCAAGTAGCATTCCATATTAAGTTACAAAACAGACTATGTGCTTTTCCATAATTCTTAACTGAAATATATCAACAGTGTGCTTAATTTGTATTAACTTTTATTCAACCCATAACATTTTTGAATTTTCTAAGAAAATATGTGATAGTAAATTAGTCAATATAACCTCAAGGGGTAACCATTTCCTACCATATATAATACATTTTTAAAATCAGAAATGTAATTACTACATGCCAACTCTTTCAACCTGAACTGCTGAATCACCAGTTTTCACTTCATATATTTTCAGCTAAAAAATACAAAACTATGGAAACAGTCCAAATAAAAACCTGTTTGAATTCATTTTCATCTTTAAATTTACCTTTAAAAACTTCTTTTTTCTCATTAGAATACCTCTTGACATCAATTAGTGGCAGGCACATTTACTTTTAATTTATAAAGGAAGATAGAAGTGAAATGATTTATTTAGAGGTCACACAGAGAATCAATAATACAACCAAGAGCAGTTCTTTCAACCAGTCCAGACTTCTTTACATTTACTTTGCATTTGAGATTTTGACCTTCTCACCAAGAAATTGAATTTATGGGTTGGGCATTCAGGAGGAATAGTGGGAAGGCAAAGAGGGCTTCCACAAAAGCAAGGAGGAAGCCACTTAGGGTTTTTGCTGTTTCTTTTGAATTCCAAGGAAATTCCATTGTTTTTGGAATCCAAATCCTGTTCCACAGGGTTCATCAGGAAGAGAAAAGGTTGGGGAGCTTTTATCAATGTAACTTGGGCAAAGTGTGTCAGGAAATCAGGCACCAATATCTTTCCAGTTGAGTTTTTTTCTCATCATTTGAGGCTTTAGGCAGTAGTTCTTTCCAATTGAGCTCTTTGTTTACGTCAGATTCATTTTATGCTTATTATGTCATATTGTCTATTTTTCTTGATAATTTTTTACATGTAAAAATGTACTTTACATGTAAAGTAGTAAATCAACTGTAGACACTTCTTGCTTTATGTAAGTGGATGTTCCTCAGACCTCTACATAAAATGGTTTTTATGTAATGTGAATTTGCCTGTGGATGTAGGGAAAGGAGAGAAGGAGGCAGGAAGGGGCTGCGTGCCTGTGGAGGGAGGGGGCCAACAATGTTTCAAGGACGTGTTGGGGCTGGGGTCAGAGGAAACAAGAGCAAGAGGAGGAACATGCAGGGATCAGAACTGAGAGGAGAACCATGCAGTGGCAGACATATTGGGGCTGGACATGTATACAGATGGGAGAGAGCAGGTAACATGTGGGGGCCAGGGACAGACACGCATGGTACCCAGGCGTGGGCAAAGAGATAGACAGGTGGGAGCAGGACACCTGGGAAGGTGGATGGAGTGGGGCAAAGGTCTCCTTTCATGGTAACTCCAGAGGTCTCAAGTCAAGCCTGCAATCTGGCTCTGGCTGGTAGCAGTGGTGGTGGTGGTCTCTCCACACATCCATTCTTCTGTTTTCACTTGAAGGGTATTTTTTAAGGTTTTGGTTTTTTGTTTGTTTGTTTGTTTGTTTTTGGTGGAGGTGGGGTGGAAAGCTACAGAGTGCAGAGCTAGAGGGCAGAAGCAGAGAAAGCACAATACCGTATGGTAAAGTTAACATAGGTGTTTTTTTTAGAACATGGATTTCTTTCAGAATTCTTTAGGTAAAGTCAGATTTGCATAGGAGGAATTTACATAAAGTGGAAACTGTCTGTATAGATAACTAAAACTATTGGAAAAAAGCATTACAGAAACAATTTACGTCATCACTTTAAATTTTATTTGAAGCAACAAACCAAATCCCAACCAAATATCTGGCAGCAATGGCAAACCCAACACTGTGAATGGAGCTGTGGGAACCCCATATCAACCTCAGAGTGCACTGATAGGACGGGCCTGTGAGAGCTGCTACAGTGAGTACTGAAGGGACTTGTTTGTTAAGTTTAGGATTAGTAGGAAACTAGAGGGTACTCCCATACTTTACTAGGAATATTGAGTAGAGTGTCATAAGGTATGAATGAGACTGTGCTGCTCTGGTGGCACTTAACATCTGCTCACAGAAGACTTAGGTCTTTCAGGCTCCATTACATAAATGCAATTGCATAAAGAGCACATTTCTACTTGCACTTTGATCTTAGAAAATTTGACCAGCTTAGTAGCAGTTAGACATTGAGATTCTTGTGACGTATTTTCATTAACTGCTATAGATAATGTGTGAGCTATAATTTATTTTGGGGGAGAGCGTCACAATGCTCTATCATGTTCAGTCTTATCAGGAACTTTCCAGAAGATGGCAGAGGTAAATGGTATTTTTTCTGGGTGTGTGAAATGGTGTTGGTGGGATTTGTTTCAGGATGATAGATTTTTGGAAACTTTTTTGATCTGATCTACAGTGAATCACAGCCAAATATCTAGAGAGATAAGAAATAGAATAATATCGCTTTGCTCTCACTGTTTTGAAATGACTAGCTATTATATTCTTTGGTCCTTAAGACTGTGATTGAAAGGTGTTTGAAATTCACTCACTTGTGCTTAGGTTCAAGCTCAGCTCTGATCCAAGGAGAAGTTTTATGAACCATAAATGGTTGAATTAGTAAAGCGAATACAACGATGTACTTGAGAGAAAAATAATTTCCATTTCCGACATTGTTAGGTAGCCGGCAGAAATAAGCCATAAAAAGGTGACTTCCCCCTGTTTTAGGTTTTCACAAAATGCCTTCATAATTTAGAGTTTTAATTTCCAAAGACGTGAATCACATCCATACTTAAATTAAGTATGAAAATGACTGTGATTATTGTCTTATCTGTGCAATTCTTCCTTCTATTCATGTAGATAATAGATAACATAATTGAGTATCTTTTTAGAGAATTAATTTCATCATCTAATCAGCATGATTGCCTAATGTTTTCTATAATTAAATTTTCTATAATTTATCTTTTTTAAAAGGCATACCAGTATAGAAGATAACTTATTTAATAACCTCTGAAGTGTACTAGGCACTGAACGTATTATAAAAATGGTTTTTGTATCCTTTTATTAAAGTGTGTGCATGTGTATATAGAATTTATTCTTTTTAATGGGTTTTAAAATAGAGAAAGAAAAAAATAGAAATAAGATCACAAACAAAAAATGTCTTTGAAATTCTGCCATAGGGCATTTTTATTATGTTGGCTATAAATTTAGCTACATTATTTTCTTATTCTTAGCCACACAGTCTCACCAGTGGTATTCTTGGGGGCCACCTAACATGCAGTGTAGATTATGTGCAACCTGTTGGCTGTATTGGAAAAAATATGGTGGCCTGAAAATGCCAACACAGACAGAAGAAGAGAAGCTATCACCCAACCCAACTACAGAGGTATGTGTACAATAGGCCATATTGTTTTTTTAGTGTTTAATGCTTAGTATATGTTTCTCAATGTCTTGTTCTCTCTTGGTAAACAAAGAATTTAAGTTTAAAAATTATTCAGTAAAAATCTATTAAGTACCTTGATTGTGAAACAGATTATGTTAGTGTCAAGGGTAGTTAATAAAATAAGATAAGACCTAGTCCAGTTTAGTAGGGAGATTAGGCATGCACAGGGATTACTATAAAACATAATTAATGTCTTAGAGAAATACAAAATAGGATATTATGTGATACACCACAGGGAACTATTACCAGTAGGTTGATGAAGAGGTTTCATGGAGAAAGTGGCATTTGAGTTAGATTTGAAAGGATGGGTGGCCTACTTGTGTAGACTGGCACAAGTTTATAGAAGACAAGCAACAAAGTTTTAATTTTGCTTTCTGGGCAGTAGGTAGATTTTGGAGCAGATGAGGTACATGACCATATGCACACTTAAAAAAATAAAAAAATTGCAATGGGAAAAAAGAAATAGATTTGGGAGTGGAAAGTAGAGGCCAGATCTTTTTTAGAGGCTCTTGCAGTAGGTACTCATGAGGATGTGTACTAGGGGTGTATACCGGTGAAATAGGGCAGAATGGAGAGATGCATCAAGTATTGCAGAGTTAGAGTCAGTAAGTTAACCTGTTAACTGATGAGTTTTGCAAGTATAGTAGAGGGAAGAGGAAAAAATAATGCCATTCTTTTGAAAATAAGAAATTGGATGACTGATAGTGCCACTGAAAGAAGTAATGAAGTCACAAAAAGGAACGTGTCTGCCTTAAGGGCTAGAATGAGGATAAAGAGACCTGAGAATGGTGAGAAGATTAGTGTGTTGTATCTAAAGCTGAAGACAAAGCAAATATCTCTGCTTATCAAGAATAAATTGTGAGGTCAAGGAAGAAGAGTACTTATAAAAGACAATGGGATTTGATGTTTAGAAGTTCATTCAGAAAGAGGTTTCCATACAGTAGTGAGAGTGGAGAGCAATGTGCAATGTCTTGATCATAATGGGTGGTGAAGTATAAGCATCACGTTTAGCAGCATTAACATCTTTGCATCATTAACTGCATTAATCATTTATTGACTACCAAATTAAACATTATTGAAAATATTGAGGCCAATCTTTGCACAGATCTTCCTTCCGCCCACCAAAGGCACTGAAATTCTGTAGCAATTCCCAGTCTATAGAGCAATGAGCGAAATGTAAGCCCCACTGTTTTATCTGTCGTATTTGCCCAATGAAGATTTATTTTGTCACAGTGAATATTTCCATTATGTATATAATGCTAATTATTTTTCACTAAAGCCATTTAGGGTCTCCCCGTGGCACAGAAGGAAGAAACCCTGGGTTCTCTTGTGCTGTGCCAGCAGAGTACAAGTTCTGTCAAGTCCCGCCAACCTTGAAAGACTTTACATACAGGCCTCTCAAGATTACGTATCAGTCAGTCATCTGGAGATAAGCCTGGCTCAGTTCCCTGAGGCTCATCACTAGATGGTTGACTGCTAGGTGATTTTTTTTTCTCAGTTACAAGAATTCATAAAGACCATCTACTTAAGGAATAGCAGAATTACAGCCTTGTTGGTGAGCAGCGTATTCATACTCATAAAACTATGGATCCTTGAAGTATAGCAAGATGTAGATGAAACATAGTCCAAATGCTTTTCTTCACAGAAAGTGATTTATTTGGAAAACACATTCTAATGAAGAAGTTATTAACTGCTGTTGAAAAATTAGATGTATCAAAGAGGCAAGATGAATGTACAGTAATACCTTTTTTAATCTTATTTTACTCTTGCCAGATCTTCCTTTTCACACTGTCCTGGCTCTTTGAAAAAAAAGTACAAAATGACAGGACCTTAATCTTGTGGCATGAGTAATTGAAATGTCAGTGTGGCTAAATTCTCTTAGATTGAAAATGTCAAACTATATTAGACCCTGTCTCTACTAGTAAAGAAAGTATTTTCTTCTGTTTCGCCTCAGGGAATCCCTCAATACTAAAGTTGATAACATGAGATTAGCTTCTCAGTGAGTCCTCAATTTATTTTTGCTTTTTCCACTTCAGCTTTTGGCATCTTGAGAATTATAAACACATAAGATCCATGTGGTATCCTTGGCCCACACCTGGTTTTAGGGACAGGCTGTTGAGTCATCTCCATATCTTAATGAATACATCAAGGTGCATTTATGTTTATACATGATGAAAACAATGTTGAATTTTATTACTTTAGTTGATTTTGGTTTCTGGTTCTTGCAGGATCCCCGTGTTAGAGGTCACATGTCACGTCAGGCCACACAGGGAATGCCAGTCCGTAACACTGGAAGTCCAAAGTCATCTGTGAAGACCCGCCAAGCTTTCTTCCTTCATACTACATGTTTGACCAAACTTGCTCGCCAGGTCTGCAAAAATACCCTCCGGCTGCGGCAGGCAGCAAGACGACCCTTTGTCCCTATTAATTGTGCTGCCATTAGGGCAGAATGTAAGATGCTTTTAAATTCTTAACTATATGTGCTGTGCTTCTGATCATTTTTCTGTTTTTTTTTGTTTGTTTGTTTTCTTTTGGGTTTTTTGTTTGTTTGCAATAAACATCATTTCTTGTCTACAGCCTTTATTTGGTTTAATTTTTTAAAAACTTTTTTTGTCTATTCTAGTTTTAACTTACCAATTTAATGAAATACACTGTTGAACCTCTCTACAATACTGTTTTCCATAGAGTTCAGTATAAACTTGATCTGTTTTGTATCCTTTCCAAGAGGTCCTATTAAGTGGCACTTTTACCCTATGAAGTGAGTGCCACAGGATTGACTCTGAGCCTTTGTGAGGCTTTATTATATGCTGAGGTATTTCAGTACAATAGGAAATATTATTTGAATGAGTTAATGTTACAGTTCTCATTAAGTCTTATTATGTAACATCTAGCATTTTTGTGTCTGTACCACCTGTCATTTTCCCATTAGTATTCACAACTGTTACCCAACATTATCTAATAGTTTCATGAGTCTCACTGTATTTCTGTGAGACTGTAAATTGTAAATACATTTGCAGAACCTTGAATTATTTTGGATGAGGATTCTGAGAAGAATCTCTTAAACTAAACTCTGGGTGTGGTATTAGACTTTTATTTTCCTGTGTTGAACATTTTTTTTCATTGCATATACATATGTCATTGAATCATATATTTTCATGTATTCTTTACGTGATTGTGTGGCTCTCATTTTCTACACATAGCACTTGACACTGGGACTATGAATTTACATTGTCATTGAGTAGGTTATCCCATCATTACCCCAGCAACCAGATGCTTGCCCAGCTTTGGTAGGGCAGCCTGAATTCATGCTGGGGTTGAAAAAGAGAAAGAATATCTAAAATGCATTTTCTTTCCTGGATACAAACTTCTTACAAAATCATGCAGTGTTAAGATTTAGAGGTAAAAATTCTCTGAGAGAGTAAAAGGTGCCCCTTAAAGGGAATATAATGAATAGAGGTCACTTAAAAGGTCCTAAGATTTGGGGAAGAGGGAGCAAAATTAAAGACAGCATTAAATTAACGTTCATAACCTCACCTATATTGTTCCTTATTGACACTTCCCCTGGCTTATAGGCTTAAATGTAAGCCTAAGAGCTTTCTTCTTTCTTTAAGAAATGGGGAAAAAAAACTTTGGGTTTAATTCTTCTATTCATCTGCCTTGAAAGACATAATTTTATATGTAATTTAAACTTTGGAAAAATGAAAAGTGAAGCTGTTGAGAGGAAATAAATGAGATTCTTCTTTTTTTTATCTTTTAGATATCAGGCACCTAGTTTTATCTTTGTTTCTATAACTGGGGGAGAAACAACACAAATTAAAATTAGCCATGGAGGAAACTTGAGTTTCCTGTGGTTCTCCTTCAAATTTATCTGTTAATTTGTACACTAGCTTTATTTTTGTTGTTGCTTCAGTGAATTGTCATCTCATTTTTTTCTCAATTAAACTGCCTTATTGCCAAAGGAGTCAATGTTTAATTTACCTGGATTTGATTTTTAAAATTAATTAGATTATAATTTAAAATAAAACCTCAGCCATTTGTTTTGGTGAGATTCAAAAAAAAAACATGTTACCTTGCATTTTCTAATCATTTATATTTATCAACTCCAGGGAGAATACTACATTAAGAATGCGATTCCTACAAAAAATTCACTCATGCTCTGAGGCTTTATATTTTAATTTTTCTGCAGACAAATGTTTGATGAACTGGGTTTTTTTTTCTATCCCCTAATTATATTTTACATCTTTATAGCCTTTCTGGGTGAACCCTATTACAGCATTAGTAACAGTTCCTTTGGTTGCTTAATTCCTTTATAGGGGCATTCGGATAGAATGCTGACAAACAAGGCATATTTATTATTTGATCAGGTAGGAGTTAGTAATTATGAAAGAAATGATAATTGAAGCATTTTGATTAATGCAACCAATTTAAATTGGAATGTATTCTGAGGAGAACAAAGCTCTTTTTATGTTGGGAAATTATTTATTTATTGTTAAATAGTAACCACCATCTTGATACATGTGATCCTGATTTTTGTTTTCCATATAAAATTGAAGTTATATATACTTTACTGTAATTTGATCTTGGCCATTACCTTGACATTAATTGTTGCTTAATAGTGAGGTAAGGATAGTGGTACACTGGCATGGGGGAGGTGAGCTGTGGCATATGTATTCACTCTTAATGGTAGTAAAAAAAATTTTTTTAAGTTAAAAAGAGGTTGAAATACCAAAACTGAAGAATTTTGTTGCATGTATTTCAGAATATTTGCAGGTAGGACATGACACATTTATCATCAAGTTTTAGATCCTTTAAAAAAAAAGAATGGGGGGTGGGCATTTGTTAGTGTTGACCAGTCACATTTTGCTTCTTGTATGGTTTCATAAATAGCACTTTTTAAACATTAAATAACAAGACAGGATCGCTAGTGGACAGATCACCATGACCCTTAAGATTACTAGATCACCCCCACTGCTGAGGTAAAGCACCAGATTATCCTTGATGAAATCCACCAGTGACATAACAGATTGAGATATCAATTAAGTTCTGTCTTGTTTCCTCACCATTGAGTCATGAAAGCATGTTGCATTTGGGGTTGTGAGGTTAAATCAAATGACTGATAGCTTTTCATACACATGGCTAACTGCTGCAACACCCCCTTCCCCCTAGGAAGTTTGAAGGTGGTGATTTAGTTTGCTTACTTAGCCACTGTGGGCCCAATCATCTGTTTGGATTTCAATTTCTTTAGCTCTGTAAAATTAGAATAATTATTTTGAAGGTTGTTTTCAGGATCAGACAATAGTGTTTGTGAAGTGCTATATAAATGCTAGTATTATTATTACTGTTGTTGTTACTTGATTATAGTAGTTGAGGATAATAGGCCTTCACATGAAAAAGAGGTCTATGAGTTTGGAATTGAATGCTAGCAACATGTTCCATGTTGAGAGATATATTATTGAGACGCTACAATATAGTTTAATTCTGTCAAGGAGCTGATGTAACCTCAGAGGGAAAAATAAATCCTAAAACTTTTTTTACAAGCCAGATTTTTTTCTTGACCATTCTGTAAATGTCTTGAATAGGGTTTCATGAAATGTTAAACCTGGAGAACTGGAGATGAAATTTTGCTTAAGTGTAATAGAATTAATAACTCACATTTTTGTAGCACGTCATGGTTGACAAAGTACTTTCTCCCCCACAAGAAACTTACAAAGTGTAATGCAGATTTTATTTCCCTCACTTTATAAGTGAGGAAGCTGAGGTTTCATTGGGTAAAAATGACTTGCACATCATACATAAGCAAGCTTAGGAAGTGTTGGAGTTGAAATTCGACAATTGCTTCAAAAACCATTGGACTTGTCAAGATGTGCAAACATTTTTCCTTCACGTGCTCTTGGGTTTTTTCATGTAAACTCAAACCCACTGTGTTCTATTTCAAACAATCTACTTTGCAACAATTTAAAAAACCACTACACTTAAGCATATAGACCAATAGCCAAATAGTGTTAATTTTAACAGGGAGTCATCAACTTTGGCATTAAAAAAGCTGTAAGTGCAAGTGAGGTCCATACCAAGTAAATAAGCCTGATATTCTGCTAAGTGAATAGAGAATAAAAGAGGCAAATTTCCCCCTTAGGAACATGTGAACTTAAGAACCCATGGAGTTTTTAGTGGGTATTTCCCAGATGTAATAATAGACAACTGTCTTGTTTGACCTTCAGAGGGAGCCCCATTCTATGGTGTTGCTGAATTATTGATTTGGCTTAATCAATATATTTATATATATTATAGGGCCCAGACATTATTAGTGACCTCAGAATTAGAGTGAAATTTTTGATAATAAATGTTACTCGATTTTTAATCCAGTCTTTCTGGGGAGGAAAACAATATGATGGAAAGAGGAGACCCAAAAGACCTGAGTTTCAGAACTTGTTGCATCACCCAAGAACTGTGTGACCATGGGCAAGTCACTTTTCTTTTCTTACTCATCTGTAAAGTGAGGGACATGTGCCTTAGATGATCTCCTTTTTAGCTTTAACATTCTGTGATACTGGGGCAGCTAGGTGACGCAGTGGATAGAGCCCTGGCCCTGGATTCAGGAGGACCTGAGTTCAGATCTGGCCTCAGACACTTAACATTTACTAGCTGTGTGACCCTGGGCAAGTCACTTAACCCCATTGCCTAGCCAAAAAAAAAAACAAAAAAACATTCTGTGATACTTAACAGTGTAATAATCTCATGGATAGGTACAGTGTATTCTTTGGTTGCCTGGTTGACAGTTGACTTTAAAATTCGGTACTAAGTAAATTCGTGTTGGTATTAAACGTCATCAAATTTGAAGTAATCGTATAGATATGGTTATATCTATGAAGCAAGATGAACTTTTTTAACTTCCAGAATGGGACTTTATTTAGAATATAAGAGATTTTCCTGCTTAATTTGCTTCCTCCTGCATTTAAATTTGAATCTATAGTAATTTTCTTTTCCCGGACTATTCAGAAAGTTCACATCAAAGAGACTAGTTTTCATAGCATACATCACCTAATCAGAAATATTTGTTTTCCCTTAATTTCCACAACATATATAAGCTAGTTCATGGAAGGTATTTTTGAGACCCTTCTATAGCTGTAAAATTCTTGACTCGTTTTAAAATTCTTTTTCTCTGAAACAGTGACCCTAGGACTTAGCACCTTGAATCTGTAAAATAATAAAAGCTTATGTTTATATAGCACTTGACAAATTGCGGGGTACTTTGTTCTCCTGTAGGAAGTGTGAGTATTATTATCTCTGTCTTACAGAAGAAGCAGCAGCTCAGAAAAGTGAGTGGGTTGGCCAAAAGTCACCTCGCTAGTTCAGATGTCAAAGTACAATGACGATCACCTCAGAGGGCTTTAATGTCACAAACAAAGGAAATCTATAATATAAAATATTACTTACTAGAATCATCAGTAGAGTTGCTAATTAGATAAGAAATTATGAGCAAATTATCATAAGCTAAAATGAAATACCTTTGGGTGATTTGGTCATACCCACACAGTGAGTTTGTAGTTTTACTTTTCTGTCTTTTCCGCCAGAGCTTGCCCTACATGAGCATTGATGGTCTTTTGCCCTTTAGCTTTGAGCAGCAAGGCTAACTTTAAAAAGTATTAATAAAAGCAGGAGAAAACAAAAAACATGCACTTCTGCCGAAGAGGGATTTGACAAATGAAGTTTTATATATAGGCTTAAACATATATCATTTACCCTTAGACCCGTACTAGGACAAAATGATAATCTCCAGAATATCATCTAGGGAAAGATTACTGTGTGACAGTCCAAATCTGACATTCAGAATTTGGCACCTGGTGTTTTTCTTCAGGATAGGAAGCAAAATAAATTTAATTGACGATATGAACACAGTGACAGTCTTTATCTAAAAATAATTGGAATGCTATGGTGCTTATTTTCATAAATGATTTTCCTCTATTACACATTTCAAGTGTAACTGAGTTTTAAGGGCCTAGTATGGTTAAGAACAAGATATTTTAATATTAACTTCTCTGTAATTTGACAGAACTAGGGTGTTTTTTGTTCTTTAAGAACCTCCTTTTAGGGTTTGTAGAACACTAAGCAGTTACTTAAAAGTGTGCCAAAATGCTTTCATTGTATTTCTGCCCAAATCCTCTTTAATAAGCATCTATTTTACAAAAATTTCCCAGCTAGAAATAAAGGATTAGATACATGGAAAACAAAGAGATTAGGTCATAAAGCATTCCGAGTGGTTACATTAATAATTAGGGAATGATTTCTGTTATGCATGCAAACAGTTCATGAGCCATGGCATGGTCTCTGCTACTGTAAGTGCCAGAATGATAGTGTTAGACTTGCAGATAGAAAGACCCAGGCTCAGATCCTGCCTCTAGCATAAACCATATGATCCTGGGCAGGTCATTTATCCTCTCTCAGCCTCAGTTTTCTCATTTGTAAAATAAGAATAATATCTGTAGCACTTTACTCACAGAGTTGTGAGGGTCAAATGAGATAATGTATGTTCAGCACTTAGAAAGCATTTTTAAAATATTACATAAGTCAGTTATATCTGAGGTCATTTAATAAACACCTTATTTATTCTCTCAAAAAAATGTGTTTGAACAGTGTGCAGGGAGAATAAGGGATGAGAAACTCCCAGAAAATATTAAATTTCAATCTGAAATAATTAAACTGGAATATTGGAACATATCTTGCAATGCAAAAGACATAACCTGCTCTTACTTCTCGGCTCCCAAGGCTTCTGTGTACTGAAAGACAAAGGGAAACTTCCTGTAGTAGAAGTAGGAGGCCAATGTAGACATTTTTTAGATAACAGGGGAAGTAGCATAAATACTGAATTGAATTTGTTAAAGTTACTCTGTTGGAAAAAAAAATCAAGGCCAGTACATTTGAGAAAATTAAAAACAAAGCCAAAAGTAAAACCATAATCTTTTTCCAATGTACATTTTATTATGACTCCTGAATATTCTAGCCCCATAACTTCTTTAGTATGAAAGTCTTCCATGTACCATACTAGTATTTTCTATCCACATGACAGCTAATTAAACCACATGTGTTTGCCTGGGCTTAGTGCCTTGTTTTTCTCTGCCTGAAACATCTTCCAGTGCGTTATAAGCAGACTTGTGAGGACTTTTATGAGCTAATATCCATACCAACAGTATCTTTCTAATATCTGATAGATGAAACCCTCTGTCTACAAACAGGCACTTAACCACTCAAGTCTCAGAAGTAGTGACATTGTAGGATTCTACAGCAGGGTAAAAAATGAGCTGTTAAACCAAATGTCCCAGTGAGGACATCATCTCCTGAATTCAGATTTGCCAAAATAGGTTAAGACTTTCTCATTCTGAACCTGCTGCAGCTGGCTGGAGCAGGAAGGGACCTTTCTCTTGTCTTACTCCTGTCAATTGCCTTGTTCATCTGCCACGCAACACTACATTCATCTCACGGTAAGATTGGCTCAATGTTACTTTTCAGAGATCTCTCTCAGTTACAGTGACTCATCTCAGCTTCCTAATAACTACAAAAAGGTTGTCACTGTTCATATGTAATGCAGTGAACTAAAAGGAAAGGCTTTCACAAATGCAACTTTTTTTTCCAAGTGGACATGTTAATCTGACATGTGTGTGAAGGCATATCTATAAGGTTCTCTTTTCTGGGGCTTCTGGGTGGGAAGTTCACATCAAATTTAGGAACTGAAAAGATAGTGTAACTAGAAGAGTTTTCCATTTTCTTCATGAACAAGGGTGGGGTGGGAGATGCACCATCACCTTATTCTACTTAATATTTTAATTTCCAAAGTGTGTATGTATGTAGATGGAGAAAATGGGAGGCTTATGGGTGTGTTTGTGTTTATTTCTTTCCTCAGATGCAGACAGACACTCAGAGGTATCGGGAAGTCCTCTGAAGAGCAAAAGCACTAGAAAACCTTTGGCATGTATCATTGGTTATTTAGGTGGGTATATATGTTAGACCTATTTAATAATTCTATGTGCAAAATCCTCCAAAGCTCCTATATACTTTTCAAGTGACTTAAATTAGATCCATTCAGACCTTCAGTTGGTTATTAAATTCCAGCTAAAGATTACATTTGAAAAAGCGATCCTTTATATTGGGGTTTTTTTTCCTGCTTTTACTCTGAAAACCCTCAAGCATAAGAGTCATTAGAACTCTTTGTTCTATTTGCATGTAGAAACTTTAATGCTTTCATAATTAAAAATGGTATTGTCATAAAAAGATTGTTAGGCAGTAACCTCATGATTTCTTTGCAGAATTCTGAGATGAATAATTTATATAATGATGGTTATTAATATACCTCGATGCAAAAATGGGATTGTGTGCGTGCTTGAATTGTTTGTTAGCTTTTCATTTCCTTATAAAAATGAAATGCATTCCTAGGATAACATTCGATCTTCTTGTTCTGTCAGAGAAATTTATAGATATAAAGTAATCATACTACGTATTTTAAAGACATCCAATCTTTCTTAAAATCAAGACATGGCCCTTTGTTGTGAATGTTGTCATCAGAGCAAATTATGATTTCACAGCTCAGAACAGCTCTCTTTATCCTTGATGTCCTTCCAGAGAAAAACAGAATTCTTAAGATGTTTCCTTTCCAGTGTCATATGAACATTATGGTATTGGATTAGTTAGTCGTCGCAAAGTGCATTGAGATTTCAGTGTGGATTTGGGAGTCAGAAGATCTGGGTTAGAGTCCTAGTTCTGACACTGTATGACCATGGGGAGCAAGTCACAAAAGTCTCAGTTTCTTCATTTGTAAAAAGAGGGTGATGCTTGCACTTACCTGGCATGGCTATTGTGAACAAGGGGCCCTTATATATAAAAATAAAAAAACCTGACATAAAAATGTGAGTTGCTATTATACTCCATTGCAGGGTCTAATTCCATAATCTTGTGACAGGAGTTCCTCCCTTCAACCTTTATAGTTTTTTGAAGGAACAGAATATTCCATTGTACTGTATGAGTCTGTTTCATAGTCAATTGGGGACTTCTCCTTTCAGCCAAATCACTATACTGACATGGGCCAAATTTGAATAATGGCACAATATTTCTGTGGCATAGAGAACCAAGAGGTAGTCAGCCCGGTAGAACCATTCCAAGGGGTACAGCAAATCAAAGTGATTGCCTCAAGCCCTCCATTTTTAAGGGACACTGTGCTGCTTTTGACACTGGACTGCTGAAGATGTGTTGTGACCTGGCCACCAATGGAAAGAGAAAGGGACTAACCAGTTGGTACAAAAAGAAAGCTGAGGTATTCATATGCATACAGTCAACATCTAGTTCTGAGAGGCACCCCCTACAAATTCTTCATCCTTTGTCTCCAAGACACAGAGCCTATGGATGCCTAATTAGCACCAACATGCCTATTCCTCTTTCCACATAATAATTTTTATTAATAAAACAGTAATTATAATAACATTTATAATTCTTTAAAGTTTGCAAAATGTTTTCCATGGATTATCTCATTTGATTCTCACAACTCTGTGAGGTAGGTGGTATTTATAATTACCATTTTATTGATGAGGAAACTGAGGCTAAGAGGTTCATTGATTTGCTCATGGTCCCATAGCTAGTTAAGTGTCTGAGGCCAGATTCATACTCAGGTCTTTCTGACTTTAAGTCTAACATGCTAGCTACTACAGACTTTGTGTTGTCCTTTGGTGTCTTCTTTTCATTGGTCCTTTCTTTTTCTCTGAAATTTTTATACCTACTGACTTATTCCAGGTGTTTGTGGTTCCAGATTCTTCCTGTATAAGGGTGTTAACAGACTGAGAGCCAGGTGTAGTGAAAAGAGCAGAAAATTTAGCTTTGCCAACTAGTTCCTAGGCATTTGAACTTATTGAGATCACTTACCTCACTGGCCTCAGCTTCCTCATAGAAGATGAGGGGGTCTACAATGTCCCTTCCAGCACCAAGTCCTTTGCTCCTGTGTAAGGATTCCTATGGAGTAATTTATCCTGGGTCCTGCTTTCCCCCTTCCCAACCCTCACCTCGGACCCTCAGGTATGCCTAGTTATAATTTAATTACAGGTGGAGATGTAAAATGGTGACTAGGATACCTGGGAAGATAGTTCCTGGCTTGATTTCAAGAATACAGAGTAAAGTATTGATAGTTATACCTTTTGGGGGGTTTTCTTGGGGCTACATATCTCCTAGGAGTCTGGTGATTTCTAATGCTGTCCTTGCCATGCTTCCAGTGAAGAGTCGGGTGCCATATTCCTTTAATAAGATAAATGTTCTGAGTGACCTCAAGTGGCTGCGTTTGCATATAATCTCTACAAAAGGCTCAGATCTAGCACTCAAGAGGAGAGCCAACTCTTTTTAGATAAGTAGAACCATGGTAACTAACACTTGAGGCTGATTCATTATGCACTGCCTTGAAAAATATGCTAGTTCATAAGGACTTTTCTTTAAGATCATTAGAAAATAAGATATGTACATAGTCAGCAGCTAGAATGCATAGAGATATTTTAATAACTTGTTCCTTGCTGAGAAGAACCTTATTTCTTGTCAACAGAGATCCATCCTGCAAAGAAACCAAATGTACTAAGATCTACACCAAGCCTGCAAAGCCCATCCACTAAGCGGATGCTTGCCACCCCAAACCATGCATCTCTGAGCATCCTGGGAAAGAGAAACTACAGCCATCACAATGGCCTGGATGGTATGTAAGCCTAACACTACAGGGAGACATTATAGTAGGCTGAGGCTTTTTTCTCCTTTGCTGGGAGTCAACATCTTGAGAAATGAATCACAGATATGCTACCCCCACCCCTTGTACCTGATCCAAGCATACCATAAATGCAAGGAGATGGAGAATTTTCCCTTGCCATGTCATATTTAATTTAGTCCAGTGACATTCCTCCAATTCACTCTAAAGATGTGACATTTTTTCACTCACTGCCCCAATATGGATAGTTTGTAGAACTGGTTTGAAATTCAGACATGTATATAGTCTGTATTTAGGAGGTTGTTTTTCTTTTCTAGGAATGTCCTTTCCCTAACTCTTAAAAGCAAGGAAAAGGTTGACTGTACCAATCAGTTTCCTTGAACAAATGTGATGATTTTGCCTTATATCTGAGTCATCAAACAACTTCAGAAGGACCCTTCTACAGTGCAGTGGTTACTTTGTGATTTGTGCTTGCCCCTTCCACTTTTAACTTGGGTCTTTTTAGTACTTGGCTGGACTACAGATCACACTAAGGGAGCTACCTGGGAACACTTGGAGCCAAAGGCTGTGCCTTGCATGTAGTAAACACAATAAAATTGTGTTGAATAAATGAAAGACCAAGCTAACGAAAAATGGAAAGGGTGGATTATAGTATGCCAGCTTTAGTATCATAGTACCTGCTTGGGTTTGTCTGTAATGACTTTATTCATTTGGAACTGAGTTTGCCTGAATTGCAAACATATCTGCAATAAATCAGCCAGAAAATGCATTATATATTTCAGAAGTCCTTGAGTTTACAACTGTCTTGGTTGTTTAAGTGTTCACATATTTCTATGAACAAGACAGTTCCTAGGCTTTTCATACCTTGTTGAACTCTACACTCTCTCAGTGACAACAGATCACATAGGAAATCCCATAGGATGAAGATTTCCTCAGAAATCTGCTTGTCTGCCAAGTTTTGATGGTTGCAGTAATGACTGTGGCAGTGAAAATTTGGAAGAGGTAGGGTAGGAAAACTGCTCATAAACCTTTTGCCACCAGTGCTGTGTTATAAATATACTTTTAGAGAATACAGACCATTTTTCAGCCCTTATGGACTCATCCTTTGAGCCTTTGCAAAAATATTTACCTGCTCACAAAAATATTGGCCAATTGTTCCCACACTAATCAAGATCTCAACTATGATGTGCCTACAGTTGGTATAATTGAAGCCTAAGAAAGGATCAGAGTCAAGGATTTGGTGTACTTAAAATTTTGTCTCATTCTTACTTGTCTCCAGCTTCTCTTGTTTAAGTATTTAGTCTTTTGGGTCCAGGCTTATTGGGTCCAAGAAATCATATCTTTCTATCTAAATACTTTTTTTTTGTCTTTGAGGAGTGTGATCCTAGCCACAGAGGCACTAACCACAGTACTAGAATATTTACATTTTGTCTTTGCAGAAATTGATGAGTAGAACAATATCTTTCAGCTCAGACAGTAAAGAAACCATCTCTAGCTATAGCAGGAACATCTTGTTAATACCATTCCTGGCATCTCCACCCACCCCTCAGGTTTTATAGTCATCCTGGGTCTTCCTATAATCTGATGTGGCTCTTCATGCTTTCTCAGTGCTTTTTTCTTTCCTAAGAGAGAGTACTTCTCTCCTGGGTACTTTGCTAATAAAGTAGTGCTAAGGGGTACTACTCCCTTAGAGAAGGCCATCCTAATCTGACATCAGTTTTCAGCACTTTTTATCTGAATGATTAAGGCCAGTTCCCTGGTCCCCTCTTACTACTTACAAAAGGACACAGACAGACAAAACAGGGTTCTGATACAGAATTTCTGCATTCCCAGAGATCTGAGACACTGCTCCCTAGACCTAGCCCCGAATGGGCAGGTTTCTCTGAAAGCCACAGTGACTCAGACAAGGGAACAAGAAGGAATATACTGACAAGACTGAATGTGGAGGTCCCTGGGTCATAGGGTCCTGTTAACTTTCCTTTGGGGTCTCATGGCATTGCTTGATAATAACTGTTCCCCATAAACAGAAGTCACCTGGTCAGATCAGCAGTACCAAACTTTAGCCACTGTCCATTTTAATGAAAAGCTGCCTGTGAGCTAAATTCCAAAGAGAGAAGTACCAGCTGATAAGAGCTGTTTCAGTTCCATAACTCCCACCACTTCTCTTGCCTGCCCCAACCCCATTTATTCGTGCTTCCTTTGGCCTGGAATATTTTGGCAGTTTCTTTCCTGTATAGCATATTTTTCCACAGGAAATATGATCTTCCTTAGAAGAATGCAAGAAGCTAGTCTCCCAGGGCATCTGCGTTGTAGACAGGGATGAAGAGGGTTTGGAGAGATATTAGTAATGCATCATTGATACTTCAGGGGCATCTAGGTGGTACAGTAGATAGAGTGCTGGGCCTGGAGTCAAGAAGTCTCATCTTCCTGAGTTCAAATCTGTCCTCGGACACTTACTAGCGGTGTGACCCTGGGCAAGTCATTTAACCTGTTTACCTCAATTTCCTCATCTGTAAAATGTGCTGAAGAAGGATATGGCAAACCACTTCATGATCTTTGTCAAGAAAACCCCAAATGGGTCAAAACAGTCAGATGTGACTGAAAACAACTGAACAACATTAATATTTCAGGTATATTACTAATAATAATAGCTATAAACTTACTATGTGCCAGGCACTTACTAATGAGCACTTTACTATTATTATCTCACTTGATCCTCACAACAATGTTGGGAGGTAGGTACTATTATCCCTGTTTTATAGGTAAGGAAACTGAGGCAAACAGCAAGTAAGTGACTTGCCTAGGGTCACACAGCTAATAAGTGTTTGAGGCTGGATTTGAACTTAGGTCTTTTTAACTTTAGTGCAGTGACTGGTGTTCAGTCCACTGTACCACTCAACTGCCTGTTTGTCCTTTCAGAACTTCCCCAAATGTTATTCTGCAGACAAAATCTTAACCATAGTTTTAATTGCTTTCATTTTTCTTGTTTCCTTCTGAATGTTGATACAAATGTAGTACTTTACCGTCTTAACTTCCCTAAAAAGGATTCTGTTGGGCACCATAGTAGGGGAGGAAGCATGATATATATATCAGAAAATTGCTGTGGTGTAAAAAGATGGCATTTATAAAACTTTTAAAAAGAAAAACTACAATAAGCTGTTCCTTGATCTGGTGATCAGAGGATCATAGTTATAGAGTTATAAAGAACCTTTCAGATCTAATATCTAGAATGTTTAAATGACTTCCCCAAGGTCAAAAAGGTATTAAGTGGGAAAAATCAGGGTTCAAAGCTCAGGTCACTTGTCTCCATAGCCAATACTCTTTCCATGGTGGAAAAATGGATGTGGTGACTGTCTTAGAACTAGACAGAGAGTAGAAACTTTACTCCTTTGGGGAAGGAAAAGAAGTTAGTTTTCCTTTTCTGAAGAAGATTATAATCATAAATGTGGAGTTGAAAGGAACCTCAGAAATTATTTGATCTAACCCCCTTATTTTACAGTTGAAGAAATTGAGGGAAGTTGTAATTTGGCCAGGACCACACTGGTAGTGTCAGATGCAGAATTTGAATCCAGGTCTCTAATTCCAGAGAGGGTGCTTTTTTCACTCTATCACATTTTTCAATAGTACAATTCTGGACCTAGATCCTACATGGAGTTTTCTTCCCTACAGTGATATGGAAAAGGTAGCACTTAGTCACTTGACCATGGCCATATAACCAGTATGTGTCAGAGATGGGATTTAAACTCAAGTCTTCCTGACTCCAAAGCTGGCCCTAATCTTAACTCTAACCCACCATGCTTCTTTGCTTCTCTGAAAATCATGGAACAGCAACCAATTGCCAATAATCCTAAGGGTAGTAAAAAGATATATGGCAGTTATACATATGTATTAGTAAATACTTATTGGTAAGTCAGTATTACTTACTTTTTTGTAAGAAAGAGAGAACAAAGCATTATGGAAGAAACAAAAGGAAATTCAAAAAATGAATGACAGGGGATCTGTATTGAATCAAAGGAGATGGGCCAGTCACTCATCAATAATGTGGAATCACAAGTGGACAACCATTAAGGAAGGCTACTCAGGGCTATCCTTCATGAAAAGGATGTGGACAAAGAATCATACAGGATGAAAGTAACAAATGGTAACCCGTGCCCATAAAGAGACTGACCACATCATTGAGATGATAGGTTCATTTATGTTCCAAAATATAGAATATATATGTTAAGAGATACATGTCACTATGAGGTATGTACATTAAAAAGTATATGTAAATATATTGGGGCTTTATGTGCAGTAAATTTGTGAGTTTATCATGCATGCAATCAAATAAAGCATCTAAGTTCATGTGCCAGGCACTTAATATCTTTATTTCATCTGTGACATACAAGCCATTTATAGTCCATCCAAGGTATGTTTAGCTCAGTCCTCTCCCCACTGTACCTCCTTCTCCTTACCTTTCTCAAGCTCTTTATGTCTGCCCTAGACCCTACCTACCCTCTCTATATTATAGTCCTGGTGAAAAGGATCAGGATTAATGTAAGTGAGGAGATAGAAGAGAGAAAAGACATTTAAGAAATGACACACATTAAACAAAGGTTGATCTGGAAAATTAACTCATTTTTGTAAGTCCTTGTATATTATATACAATTAATGCTAATACTTGTGCTGCTTTCATAACTCTGTATTTCTTACATTACAATATAACTATTGAGAAAATTTAAGTAGACAGCATATCTATTGGTACATCTGTTTGTACATTTTCATTATTAATTGGAAAGGCAAAGGTAATGGTAATGTCCATTAAAGGAAATTGCCTTTGATGAAATGTGAGGAAATTACTTTTCTCTTGGGCTTTTTTTTCCCTTTTCTCCTCTGTTCCTTACTCCGAAGAAGGAAGGACAGGGAGCCATGATGGTCTACTTATAGATTTTTACCTACTCTTAGGACTCCCCTCATTCTACTGTTTTTTTTTCTTCCCAATTTTCTTATTAGAC